TTCCGAAAACAATTCACAATTAATTTGATTATTATTTTGTAAACTATTTATATATTTATCACATTTTTTGGCCAATAATTTATATCTCAATAACTCTGTTGTCAAGCGATTCACAGATTGTTTCAATTCACACACAATTAGACACAATTCACTTCGACTTAAGCCATGGATATCACCACTAATTGATCCCATGTTTTGAATGAAAATAAAAAATTTAAAAATAAATCGCCGGAAATGTAAACAGAGATCACATGTAAACACAATTTTACAGACATTACGTCCAAAAACACTAAAACTTAAGAAAATAAAATTAATTTAAAAATAACATTTAATGTTTAATTCAATAATAAATCAATTTAATAAATATTACAATCAAATAAAATTTGTATAAATTACGCAAAAATTAAAACCATAAAAATAAACTCAAATTAAATTCTGTTTTGTTTAAAAAAAAGTTAAGATTTTGTGTGAATTTTCATGTGATTATCCATTTCTCCACACTTTTTAGTCTTATAATCACATCCCGTATGAGAGCACTGGTAGTCATCCAAACCCTCGTGTTGTCTATGGATATGATTGTTAAGTCGGATGCGATTTGTGGTCTTATAGTCACACTCTGGCCAATGGCACCGGTAGTCAGCCATCCCTTTATGCACTCTATGCACATGTATTCTAAGAGAGTTTATATTAGTATAGGTGTGTCCACAACCGGGCCATTCGCACGGGTGGTTAACCGCAGCCGTATGTGTGTTCATGTGATGCTTTAATAGATATTGAAAAGCATAACTGCGTCCACACGCCGGCCAATCGCACCGATATGTGGCGGTCGTGTGTTTTTTCTGTTTGTGTTCAGTCAATCTGTTAGTGATCTTAAACCGGGCGCCGCACTCATCGCACGCGTATGGCTTCGGGTGTGTCTTCACGTGCAGATATAAAGTCAGTTTATTAATGGTTACAAACGGACAGTCGGTTTGCGGGCACTTAAACGGCTCATTCAAGTGCAACATTTGATGGCCTCTGAGGTAACGAATCTCTTTGAATGTCTCATTACAGGCGTCCATAAGACACGCGTATCGGCCGCGAGATATCTTCTTATAGACCATTGATTTCTTTTCCTTTTCATTCAAATGACTGAATGCGTGTCTTCTTAGCCCTGAAGGCGAATTGTAAGCGAATTCACAGCCCTTGTAATCGCACACACACTTCCCGTCCGATCCTTTTGGCCGTTTCCCAGCCATCCCTTCATCAAACCGGAACCGTATTCTTCAGTTTCGCTGTTATTGTCTTCATTTTTCGCTGATTTTTGTTTACGTTTTCTATTACTTTTAGTGTTTAATTCACACATTCTTTGACTGTCAACTGATCCGTTATTTATTTCTTCGATCAACTCATTCGGACTGTGGGTCTGCGGACACTCTTTCAAGTGTGACATTTGGGGTAATTTGAGGACATCTTTGTCTTTGTAAACAGATTCGCTGTCATTGTCTCCATTCATATGATTGTTATTCACATTGTCTTCGGCATCACTTCGGCATCACTAACAGTTGTGCTCTTGTTATCTAATTTTGTGTTCAAATCATCAATTATTTGACTATCAATTGATTCGCGATTTAACTCATCATTAAATTCAATGCTATTATTAATCAAATCTTGAGTCTTTTGATACTTGTCTTCGGCATCACTTCCAACGTCTGTTTCATCGTTTAAATCGTTATTAATATGACAATCGATGCCATCATTTGATTCGTTGTCTTCAGAGTCGACCACTTCTTCAGCGCTTGTCTTCTCTCTATTGTCTTGTGTTTCATGTCTTGTATTGTCTTCTCTTTTAATCAACACTTCATCCGTGGATTCATCGCTCGTTTGACCGAATAATTTGAGATCTGTTTCTAAAAAGTAAATCAAAAGTTAATAAAAAGTAATTTCTTTGACAATAATTAGTAAAACCTATGAATGGATGAAAAGTTTGATTCAAACAAATGATACAATTTTTATCGTT